AATTTGTTAAACCCCAAAACCCCAAAACCCCATTTGAAAATAGAAATTGAAATTTCAATGTTTAGATTATTAAATAATAGCTCTATTATAATAGTTCATTCTAATCTGTATTTTGTTCTTGATTCATATCCATCCACCATCAAATAACTTTTTATTGATAGGTGCTGGAGGTTTAACAAACTTGGCATTAGCCTTCTGTCCTTTATCAATTATTGCTTGCATCTGATCAATTTATTTCAATATTTTCATCTCATCTTAATCACTTGATTCCAAACCATTATCCTAAAAGCTGTTTAAACCTAGTCTGTTAGGCTTAGTAGTACCAGGATTGGTGGTGTTGATTGTGTTTGCATTAAAGCCAACATTAATATCCCATGCCGACTATGACTGAATTTTACCTTGATATCTTTTCTTATTTAGTGATGAAGCAGTTTTCCTATCATTATGGACTGCTTTGATGTAAATATTTTCAAGATCTTTTAGGCGAGTATCATATACTTAAGGCCGTTTCATTTATCTCGCATAATCGTCTTCAAGGTTCATTTGTGATTGATTTCTTGTTTTCTGATTTGGGAAAGCAATTGAAGAGGACTAGTTTATATATGAGGGATCATAAAGTCTATCCTGCACCTTTCCATAAACTCTTGATAGATTTTTCTTTGCAAGAGTAGGTTTCTTGTTTTCAAATAGCAAATCTTTATCATTGATACTTTACTCAAACTTTTGAAGTTACTTGAGCAACTGCTAATCTTCATGGCTATTTCCTAATGATTCTTTGAGCATTTGGATCTTGTTATATCTTTCCTTATTTGCTGAAAGGTTTACTTCATTATTACTGTAAATGCTCTAATTAGGTTTGGCTCTATTGTTATTATAAGTGCTTAGACTTTGACCAACCCCACTTATCATAGTGCTATGATTATTTCTGCCGCCACCTTGTGCTCTGCTACCAACCTAATTAATTCCATTTTAGAAAGCTAAGGCTGAAAAAAATAGATCTCTTGCACTTTAGTCATCTTAAACGGAAGTCTCATATCCTCCGATGGATACTTATTGATTTAAACTCTTTTATGTTTTCATCTCATTTTTACTAGATGTATTGATTATTTACATGCGAGATGGGGAATTCTCATTAGTTCTAAATCCTCCAGCCCCATCACTTGAAACTGTTTAATTATTAATTGTTTATTTTCTATTAGTTCTCTATGAAGATTACAAGTTTTATACTGTAGTTTTTGCTTGATCCGTTCCCTGTCTAAGCAACTCAGTTTTAGTTTTGGCTTGCATTGGCTAAACAATCTTAGACAAAAAGCCATCCTCATCACCTGGCATGACTCTCTTGTTCTGCTTGTTGTATTTTCTAGGGTTTTCTCCCATTAAAGACTCCACTGATGAATGATTGGATGTGTTTTTCTCTCTTAGTTTGCGATACTCTTTCTCTATTTCGTCCTCTTAATCCATTAAGTTCTTTTTCTTTGTCTTTTAGTTGTATATGTTTATATCCTCAATCTTGTACTTGTTCTCTGATTTTTTCTCAAAATAAAACGGAGCAGGAATCTCATCATCTGTGTCAATTTCATCAGCTCTAAATATAATGGCATCCTTATTCGAAATGATGTTCCCCTCGATGTCAATCAGGTAGCCTTTTTTATTCACTCTCCTACCCTCTCTGTCATTCAGTTTCCCATCTTTACCTTTAATAATAAGACTAAATCCCTCTGGATCAACTTCAAATTCACCCATTATTTCTGTCAAGTCAAAGTAAGGTATCTAAGCTAATCTATTTCTAGGTAATCTTCTTCTTTGTTTTGTGAATTAATGCTCCTGGAATTAATCTAAAACATCATCAATTAATCCAGTGACATAGTCTGGATTAAGATTTTCTTCAATGTACTCTTCATCAGATGCATCATTCTTCTTGTAATTTTAAGATCTCACTCTTGTCATATCATCTATTGCAAGCAACTCTAGTAAATTAGTTTGCACTTTAACACTGACTAGTTTAGTATCTCTGAGCGGAAAGTAGTGAGCAGGCTTACCTTCAGCATAGCAGTTATCATACTAATCTCTCTGCCTCATCGCTCTTTTGAATTCAACAAGTCTACCCATAAAGAATGGGTTGTTCAGCATTTCTTTCTCTCTTGGACTCACTGGAGCACTAATAAAGTTTTGTAGTTCTGGATCACCAGCTCCATTGTCTACAAAATCATCATCAGCCTCCCTAAGATCTCTTGAGGACTTGCAGACTCTATGCTGAAGTCTTAATATTTCCTCCTCATGAAGCTTTGTGATAAGCTCAAGTGTATCACCCTTAGAGATAGTTGCATCCTTTGAATATATCTATGATATCAGCTTTTCTAAATGTCTTCTTCTTTCATAGTATTCCTAGAATTCAGGTGTTATCTTATTCTTGTAAAGTTCAGTTTTGATGTAATTGCTAGTCATAGTAAGTATATTTTCTTCTGTTTTCAAAGTCTTGTTCTTAGAACCATCCATACTTGTGTTTTGCATAGTTGTGGTTGAGTGTAGAGATTAAGGTTTTAGAGAATAGAGCTATGATTAATCATCCATCAATGAAGACATCACATTCACCTAAGAGTTATCAAGGAACTTTGGTCCAACTCTCAAGTATTGATTTTGCTTAAGAGCATATTTCTTAAGCTTTATCTTTTCATATATCATCATAGCTAGTAAGGCAACTTCAATAATAAACATTTCAATGCAAGTCATTTGAACTTAATAGCCGAATTCAACAAAAACTAGTCCAATAATACAGGCTACTAGGATTGGAAGCATTGTAGTCACCACTGAGAAAACTGAAATGAATGTAAAGGGCTTGAAGAAGTGTTCAGGATCTTCAAAAGATGCATTAAAATTGTCTCTGCCAAAAAATCTAGCATAAATCACTCTATATACCTTGAAGTTTATCACGGATCCTAGAATTACTACAACATTGTTTGTTATTTTATAAGTAATTCCCCAATATTTAAAAGCAGAATCCTAGTGTATCTGCTTCATGAAAACTACTGCAAAGAATAAGTTACTTCCATAGAGGAATAGCAGTGCTACAAGGGCAAGACCGAAAGTAGAATAGACTCCTATTTAGTAGGACAGAATTATAAGCATTAGTATCCCTATTGTCTCAACTAAAGAAACTATTGCTATGATGTTTGAAATTACTAATGTATTTCTGTATTTGATCCAACTGAGAATAACTATCATTGATAGGAATAGACAAGAAAAGCATAATGGGAAAGGAGCAAAGTAACCATGTGCTGGGATACATTTGTCTTTAGCTATATTTAGCTTAAAGCCATTTTCACAAATCTATGCTTTCAGAATACAAGAAGTACCCAGTGGGTTAACTTCTTACCCGAACGGACATCTTAGTCCATTGATCACACATTAGGAGAATTCATTTGGTTCATAACCTTGAGGACATGTTTTTACACATTAGAAATTATAGAGATATAACCCAGACGAACAACTCAAGCATGAGGATGGATTATTAACACAAGTTAGACAAGTCAAGTCACAAGTAACTATAAAAATATAAAAAGAAGTAAGAAATTCGTACCACAAATCCCATTAAATCCAACTTGCTTTTTATCAGTCGAACATTCTCCAACACACTCACCTAATTTTTATCTCAGATTTAATTCAGTTTAGCATGAAGTACAAAAGCTTTTCTTTGTCTCGCAAGTTTAGCATTTGGGATCGCACAGTTCACATTCCTAAAGTAATTAAAAAAGTGGAAAAATACCTTTTTTGCTGCATTATATATAGTCTTTCCAAAAGGACATGTATCTACACAACTATTTTCAAGAAGAGATAATAATTTGTTCGAAGCACAGGAAGTGCAGAAGTTAGCTGAACCTTGGCAAGTCAGGCATGTACTATCGCATTTTAAGCAAACATTACCCTCAGTTACAAATGTGCCAGGAGGACAAGCTGCTAGGCATTATGTGCCATTTAAGAATTTAGAGCTTGATGATTACTCACAGCTTGTGCAGTTATTAGGAGTTCCCGAGCAGGAAGCACAAGGACTAGTGCACTTATCACAAGTTCCCGTCCTTGAATTTCCATAGAATCCAAAACTGCAAGTGTTCTGGCAAGTATTTCCACTCAAGAAAGGGTATTCTGCTGAGAGAGGATTGCAAGTCAAACACTCAGAGGGATTCAAAGGATTGCAAGATTTGCATTTTATATCGCAAGGCATGCACTTGAATTGAAATGAATCGTAGTACTAACTATTGGGGCATGTATCCCAGCATTTGTTGTTGTATAGAATCGTTTTACCTGAAAGTGCATTGCAACTTAGACAGTAGGTTGGACTATTTGTTTGGCAAGTTTAACAAGGTGAATTGCAGGGAAATACCAGACTTAATCCATCTGATATTTTATCAATCTAATACCCATCATTTGTGTAGCTTATGACTGTCCAAGAAGGAGTTGTCATTTTAGTGGTTACGTCTATATTGACATTATTGATGGTGAAATCAACAAACGAGCCTCCGACATAGTCAGCTGGGAATAAATCCTAAACCAAGAACTAGCCTTCTTTGTTAAAGACACAAGTCACTAGCTCGTTCTTAACTAGATTTGAAGTACACTTGAAGCTGGTGTCTCTATTTACTTGGAAATACATTCTGTCAAAAGATACCTCGAGATAACCTCCAGCTGGAATAAAATTGTTAGTCTTCATTCTAATTGTGATAGCTGTATAAGCTAACTATCTAAAATCTAGGGCAGTAAAGTTTGCTTGAGTAATCGTAGAGGGTTAGCCAACCTAAATTGTACCTCCGTTACCTGAGACAGACTCAACAATAGAATAACCCATTTTATCTCTAATTACTAAAGCAAATTCTGAGGATTTCTTGGTGCTTTTAGGATTGTTGCAGGGAAATATTCTCACGGTGATAATAGCTGAATTAGCAGTTGATGGTGAAGTGGCCAAAGCAGCTGTGACAACTACAATGTTGCCTAGCATCTCACAAGTCAAAGTTGTTTTTAGAGCATCTGCTCCCTGGCAAGAAACTGTTTGCTTAGTGGGTGGTGTTATTTCTGCTGGAATCGTAATGTAAATCTTGTCTCCGTTTTGAACAGGTGATGGTGGCTTAACACTTACAGACATTGTGGCTTGACTACTTACGATATTCGAACTTGTTGAAGTAGTTATCTTGTCTAAGAACTTTCCTTGAGTCATAGTGATTGTTACTAGAGACAGAACCTGGTCAATGAGATAGCTATTGGAGTCCATTGAGTAGATCTTGAATGTTGAAGTTGTCTATGTGGAAGGAGGCGTTCTTATACCTGAAACTGAGAAAGATATAGTAGCTTATTCTGCTGCTCCATTAGTTTTGAAGCCATTAATAACTGTTATATTCTATCCATTCTTAGAGCATGATATTGCTGAATCCATATTTGTGATTGCAGCACATGATATAGTATTTAAGGTAACCTCACTGGGAACTACAAGAACGATCTTGCCATTTAATGGGATTCCGTTATCAAGCTTTATATTCAATGTCAAGACGGCATCAGTGAATGTTTGAGTAGTTGATGCTGATATAGACTGAGACATGAACATTGAAGGAATCAGACCATATAGATTAGTTGTTGTGTCGGTAAAAGTATCTACAACAAAGTTAGAACTGCCACCATTACCAATTACTTGAGAATAGGTAGTTATTGATATGCCTTTTATGGGTTGTTGTGAAAGAGGGTTTACTATATTGACGAATGTAATTTGCAGTATTTAGCTGGAGCTATAGCTATATGAAGAGCTAGCGAAAGGACCATTGAAAATGAACATATTATTAGATGATTCAGTGCAAGTAATTGAAGTACTAAAAGCAGAGGACTTCTTAAATCCATCACAATTTACTTGCAAATTAGTAGGTAGTTGTACTTAAATCTAACTTGATGAGATCAAAGCGTGCTTAGGTTGAAATGCCAATATCAAATCGCTTTGAGAATTCACGCTATTAACTGTAGGTACTAAGCTAACCTAATCAACAGTACCAGCAGTAGGTGTAAATGTAATACCAGCACTTACTTAAGCTATTTAAAATCCATTAGCATCTGTTAGAAAAATTGAAAATGAGTCACTTGCCTTGACTTCAAATGGATTTCTGATCTGTTTGAATATCAAGACACCTGGGACAGCTGCTGCTTTATATGAATCAATGCCTGATGTAATCTTGACTGATAGGTTGTCAGAAGAAAAGGTTAAGCTTTTGATTGATCCAAAAAGACCGAATCCTTAAACTTCAGTCAGCCTTTGCTCGAAACTAAATTGCACTGGGAATACAACAGACACAATAGTACCAGCATTTAATGGAACTGGTGATTAGAATTCTAATCTAAAATTGCTCAATTCTTAGACAGTTGTAATGTCAGCAGAAGTTGTAGCTTGAGCTGCAGGTATTGTAGCAGAACTGGTTGGAGTAAATTTTATCGTGCCTTGCTCAATTACGCCAGTGCCAGCTTGATTAAGAGACCTAATCTAAATTGTTACTCCGGCATAAGATAAAGCGTTTCTAACTGAACTTATCTAGAATTAAATAACAGTTCCCGATACCTAGCCAGTTGGAAATCCATTCGTTAATGTAAGAGTATCTGAGCTCGTATCAAAAACACAAGCAGCGTTTGAATTCACATTCTAGAAGAATAAAATTATAGTTAGGTTACAGAGATAGAAGTGCATTTAACACTTGATGGATTGCTTATCATTGGTAATAACTATGTTGTAGATGCTGCTGGATTCCATTTTGGAAAGACTAATTTTAATTGAGATCCAGCAAGTAATTAATTTTATATCTCAACTCTCACTGTGACAGATGTTGCTGCTCCTACAACAAAACTGTCAACCTGGGTCATTGAAGCACCTAATAAATGTTAATAATGTAAAAAGCATACTAGTAAAGGAATCTGGTTAGACGCCCAATGTAATTCCTGATGATAAACTGTCAATAACTGTTGTGCCACCACTGTTGAGTGTTTCAAAGGTAAAAGTACTAGTTTCAGCTGTAGAAGTTGGCGTTTTAAAACTTCCTAGTATATTGACTTAGAAAGTTTGAAAAGCAGAAATTGATGCTTTTAATGTTATTAAAATGACTAAACCAGAAGCACTGCAGGCAAGATTTCCTTATTGTACATCTCCTGATATTGAACATGAAAGTGATCCTTATGTAATTGACACTTCATTTTGCTAAGGTAATGTAATCCTTATCTTATCATTAGCTGAAAGTTAAGTTTTGATTGTTGTTTAAACATATAGATTTGCTAATGTCTCCCCAACAAGTGAAGGATCAGCAGTTATAGCTACGAAATCCAATTAAGAACCTAGAAACCATATTTAAGCCATTTGAGTAATTACCTGTAGCAAATTGACCAAGTTAAAAAATCATCAAAATCATCAAAAACCATCTATATATTATAAGAATATTAGTGATAGTACATCTATAGGGAATTATGAAAAACTAGTTTGTGTTTTTTCATATTGTTTCCTTAATTCTTTAACAATTTAAAATACTAATTTTATGTAATCTCGTAATATTTGATCATTCGGGGTTTTGGGGTTTTGGGGTTTTGGGG